CTTCACCAGCAATTTGTAGTTTTCATTACATAGAGTTCTTGTCCCTTTGGTTAAACTTATTCCTTGGAATTTCATTCAATTTTCTGTGTCTGTGGCTATTGGAGATAGAATTGTTTCCTTAATTTCTTTTTCAGATGACTCATAATTGGGGTGTGATAATGCCACTGATTTTGAATCTTGAAACTTAGATGAATTTGTGTGCTTGTACAGTTTTATGGCTGATTTTGAAGGATTTTCTGTATACAAGATCATGCCCTCTGCAAACAGCAGTTTGAGTTTTTTTTTAAGATTTATTTATTTTTGTTGGAAATTCAGATATACAGGGAGGAGGAGACAGAGAGGAAGATCTTCCACTCACTGGTTCACTCCCCAAGTGGCCGCAACAGCTGGAGCTGAGCCAATCCGAAGCCAGGAGCCAGGAGCCTTTCCAGGTCTCCCACGTGGGTGCAGGGTCCCAAGGCTTTGGGCCATCCTTGACTGCTTCTCCAGGCCACAAGCAGGGAGCTGGATGGGAAACAGGGCTGCTGGGATTAGAACCGGCAACCATAAGGGATCCTGGGCATACAAGGCGAGGACTTTAACCATTACGTTATCTATCACGCTGGGCCCCAGTTTCAGATATTCTTAAATTCTTTGTCTTGCCCAATTGCTATGCCAAGTACTTTCAATGGTATATTGAATAAAAACAATGAAAGTGAGCATCCTTATTTTGTTCAGACTTTAGAAAAGCTTTGGCTCTCCCCGATTCATTATAATGTTAGCTGTCAGACGCTTATATATGGTCTTCATTATGCTCAGCTATGTCTGCCCAATGCTTAATATGTTCAGGTTTTCTTTTATTAACCTGAATGAATGCTGAACTATTTAAATGTCCTTTCTGCATCTACTGAGATGATCACAGGATATTGACTTTCATTTTGTTTATGTGCAGCATCACTTTTATGAACTTATGTTGAAATATTCTTGCTTCTCTAGGACAAATCCCTTGATCATCATGAATTATGGTTTTAATGTGTCATTGGGTTTTATTTGTGTTTTGTCAAAAATTTTTGCATCTATGTTCACCAAGTATTTTGACATCTTTATTGCATCCTTGATTGATTTTGGTAACAAGGTGATGCTGGATTCATAGAATGCATTTGTAAAACATCTTTCATCTTCTATTTTGAAAAGCAATTTAGGAAGAACTGTGTTAACCATTCTTCAAATGACTGGCAAAAACCAGCAATGAAGCCAATTAACTTTTGGCCTTTTTTCTTGGTGAAAATTATGTCACTAACTTATTGTTGCTACTCTTCATTGGTTTGCTTAGATATTCTTGGTGAGGCATGTTTTTGCAGTAATTTGTCCATTTCTTCCAAGTTATAAAATGTATCACCATTAATTGTATATGGCATATCTCACACACAGTCTTCTGTATTTCCATGTTATCCATCATAATATTTCCATTTTTAGCTCTGGTTTTCTGTATTTGAATCTTCTCTGTTTATGGTTGACAGTTTGTCAACTTTGTGTATCTATCTTTTTTGGAAAACCAGGTCTTCATTTCATTGATCTATTTTGGTCTGTGTAATCACTTTGTGCTGAGTTTTTTTTTTCTTTTAAGATTTATTTTATTTTTATTGCAAAGTCAAATACACAGAGAAGAGGAGAGACAGAGAAGAAGATCTTCCGTCCGATGATTCACTCCCCAGGAGGTCGCAGCGGCCAGTGCTGCGCCATTCCAAAGCCAGGAACCAGGCACCAGGAACTTCCTCCAGGTCTTCCACACGGCTGCAGGGTCCCAAGACTTTGGGCCGTCCTTGATTGCTTTCCCAGGCCACAAGCAGGGAGCTGGATGGGAAGTGGGGCCACCAGGATTAGAACCGGCGCCCATATGGGATCCTGGCACATTCGAGGCGAGGACTTCAGCCTCTAGGCTACCGCGCTGGGCCCAATGTGTTGAGTTTTATCATTGATTTCCTTGTACTAATTTTATATTTAATATGTTCTTATTTTTCTAGTTTTAGATATGTGATAAGTTGTTTGAATATTTTCTGATTTTTCTGCATTCTGCTATCTATAAACTTCCTTCCTAATGCTTTCATTGTATCTCATAGATTTTGTTTTGCTGTGTTTTCACTTTAGTTTCAAAAAATATTTTTGTTTCTCCTTAATTTTTTTCCAGATCCATTGATTGTTAAAGAATAAGTTTTTAATTTCTCTGTATCTTCCTGTGTTCATCAAGTAGTTCTGGCTTATTAATGATTTCTGGCTTATTGTATGGCAGTAAGAAAAGGTACACGATGTGATTTCTATTCTTTCAAACTTATTGGGACTCATTTTGTGATCAATCCTATGGTCTAACCTGGAGAATATTCCATTTGCTATTGAGAAAAATATAGATTCAGTAGCTTTTGGTTTGCAAGTTCTGAGCATATCTGTTAGGCCCAATAATCTAGGGTACAATTTACCCTACCCTGTTTATTTTGTCTGAATGTATTATTGTACTGGAAACTATGTTTCTCTAAGTTTTACTCATAGTTGCTTTATGCTGGATAGAATATTTTATAATCATATAAGGACCCTCCCTATATTTTTTTCATGCTTTTTGCTCAAAATATGTTTCATCTAATATATGTAGAAATACTCCTGGTTTCTCTGGGATCCATTTTTAAAGAACCTTTTAAAAATATTTATTTATTTTACTTGAAAATCAAAGTTACAAATAAAGAGAAAGACAGAGATTGATTTTCCAGCCATTGATTCACTCCCCAAATGGTCGCAGAGCTGTGCTTATCTAAAGCTGAGAGCCAGAATCTTCTTCTAGATCTCCCACCTGGGTGCAGGAGCTCAAGGCCTTGAGCTCTTCTCCATTGCTTTCCCAGGCCATAAGCAGCAAGCTGGATGGGAAGTAGAGCAGCCAAGGCTCGAACTGGTGCCCATATGGGATGCTGGTGCAGCAGATGGAGAAGTAGCCTATTACCCCATCATGCCACCGGTCAGTCCCAAGGGAACATTTTAAAAGCAAAATGAAGAGAATTACATAAGATGTTTTGAAACAACAATCCTTTACTGCAAGGACTACTAGAAAGCTTGCTATCTGGTTAGGTTGAAGGGAATTATTAGGCAGATCTACTTTTGGAAGTAGGTGCTATGATTATAGCAGCCTTTGGGCAAAGCTGTGGTCCAGGAAGTCTTTTTTGTAGGTATTTTTGATATGTTTTATTTGAAAAGGAGAGAGAGAGAAAGAGAGAATATGAATGAGATTGAGAGGGAGGGAGAGAGAACTTCCATCTTTTGGTTCACTTCTCAAGCGATCACAACAGCTAGGGCTGGACCAGGATGAAGCCAAGAGCCCAGAACTGCATCTGCGTGTCTCATAAGGGTGACAGACTCCCAAATACTTGGGCCATTTGTTGCTTTCTCAGATGTGTTAAGAGGGAGCAGGGTTAGAAGTACAGTAGTTGGGAGTTGAACTATGCTCTAATATGGGATGCTGGCATCACAAGCATCAGCTTAGTGTGCTGAGCCAAAAAAACAAACCATGACAGTCTCTTGTGATAGTTACTACCAGGCAATTATGCAGGAGAGCACGCCCTTCGGAATCTGCTGACTTGGCATGGTTTATCTGAGAGGAAGGAGTCAAGTAGATATGATACATCTAACTTCATTTTGATTCTACATCAGAATGAGAAATCCACTTTTCTCTTTGAGTTAATTTGGATGGTTTCTATTATTCTGCAACATTATTTATAGTGTATATGTATTTTTTCAAAATTATTGGCATACAGGCAGGCATTTAGCCTATTGGCTAAGATATGTTAAGACACACATCACATTGCTATAATTGGATTCAATATCTAACTCTGGTTCCAGACTCCAGCTCCTTGCTAATGCAGACTCTGGGATGCAGAAGTAATGTCTCACAAGTAATTGGGTTTCTACTGCCTATGTGGAATTCTGGGTTGAGCTCTCAGCTCCTAGTTTCTACCTGGATGAGGCATTCGGTGAGTGATCCAACTAATGGGAGGTCTCTGTTTGTCTATCAAATAAATAAACATTTTAAAAATTATTAGCCAGAATTTATCTACTATATTTTTTCATGTATTCTAAAATCTTCATGTGTGGTTTTGTCTCATTTTTTCAGTTTCCATATTTCAAGATTGTATTTCCCTTAACCAAGACTACCACCGAAATGACCAGTTTTCCTTCCAAGGTGTGAGATACTAAGTAAAACTTTAAAAAGATAGCAAGTTGTTCTCTGACTTAACTATTTTTTGGCTTTGTATTAGGTAGATAGATTTAATTATCTGCTTTACAAAGTATAGTTATCAAGCAAATAATTACATTTAGATTCCTTTCTTGGCTTAATAAATAGGGTCCATTGGATGACTTTCAGATGACCACCAGTAATCTGTCCTCTGGTATTTACAACCTTATGTATGTATTCACACATTAAACTTCCTCTGAAAATTGCAACTTAGTGTTAATGAACAGAATAGAACAGAATTAATGAGGTAACGTTTCTAAGTGAGGTTATAAAAGCATAGTGGTGTCTGTTTGGGTGTTGCATCTCATTCTCTCATGGATGTCTGCTATGGGCAAATCAACTGTTATGTCATAAACAGCTCTATGGAAAAGTACATGTGATAAAGATCGAAGGATGCCAGCAACCACATGATTGCCTGAAAGTAGAGTCCATTCCAGTCATGAAACAAATACAAATAATTTTTCATTCATCAACCAGAATGGAACCATGACTGCCGCCATGGCTGATCATTTGAATGCACTTATGTAAGAGACCATGAACCAGTATCACCAGATAAGATGTTTCCAGATTCTTCACTCACACACAAACAAAAAAACTTGAGATAATAAATATATGTTGCTCTAAACTACTACAGTTTGGGATAATTTATTATACAACAACAGACAACTAATACATCTGGCTTGCTGGCAGAATAATCAGGTGGAGAACTGAAAGGAGTGTTTGAGATACACGAATGAGAAGTTTGGGGTTGAGATCATAAGATATTTTATTTATGGAAGAATTAAAAATAGCACATTAACAAAACATTATTTGACAGAGAAATTACACCAAAGCTCTTATGAATGCGATAATCAGCAAACCCACCATAAGTGTTGGATTGCTGAGTTCTCCCATGGCTAAGAGACTAGCTTGCAGTCAAGGTATGAATCAATCACTGGATAGTTTCTTTACTTTGGATGACTTATAACAATAAGGTCATTTGGTAAGGAAATTGAAATAGAAGATCACCCTCCTGGTAAAGAGTACTGTGTCATTCCTGAAACAAAGGCTCCTAGGCAAAAGGAAACAGAGGGTTGTGACAAAAATCCAGTGAGCGTGGCTCCAGATCTTCCTTCTGCTTTCTTTTGCTTGTCTTTAAAAAGCAGCTTGGATGTGGTTTGGAGGCTGGAAACTTGTAATTTGCAAAACTGCAAAACCTTGACTTGCCCTTTGATTTTGACCCACAGTTCCTTAAATTTTCCTGGCCTCTCATGTCTATAAAACACCTTGGAATTTCACTACCTTGCTTCTACCAGTGAGTGAATGGCTCTCTTGCTGCCTGAGATGGGGAGTGCTTGGCCAACACCTTCTTCTCCAGTTGTGTAAGATAGAGACTCAGACAGAGAAGAGATGGGGAGAGGAGGATGACAGTGGTCCAGCAGGTGATCACTTAGGGCATGCCATAGGTAGTTTTAGACTCCAAAGGTGAGGCGAATGTCTCCAGCACAGGGTGGTTGTTGGTCACAGCCCCAAGACTTGGCTGGATTTATCAATCTGGCAGTTCAGGGTCAGTGCAAAGGACATCCCTAATACCTGAGAAAAGAGGTGGGGAAATATGAAATCTGTAAGGTTAGGTATTTCTCCCATAACTCCTGTAATTAGCCAGAAGGAATACATCCATCACATGGAGACCACCCTTCGCACCATGACTTCAACTTCCCTCTCAACAACTCTCCTCTTAAACTTCAGAGAGGCAGTGAGGAGAGAAACAGAGGCCATGATGGCAAGAGAGCATAAGGTGTTGGAGCATCTTTTATCTTATTAAAGAATCATAGCAACTCTGCTGCTAAAATAGTCATGTCCTACTAATAGAACACTGTGCAGTAAGTCATGTTTACCAATACCTTATGCCTGCACGGTATTCAAGCAGAGAAAAATCATGTTTCTCTAAAGTTTTTGAGAAATCTTAATTGACATATAATATAATCAGTACTTGGATAAAAAGAAGTAAAAACCAAAACTCACATAATGAAGAAATAGACAAAACTACCCCGATTCACCCTTCATGATTGTTATCATCAACTCCCTTTTATTATGCAAGGCCAACTCTTCTAGTGGAATATTTAACTAATCACAGTCTTTTCCAGATCATTTGAGTGAGGGACCCATGCGGGGTTCTGCTTCATGGATTTTAACTCAACTGTGAATCACACATATCACTAAGGGCAAAGTTGACCAGATTGATACATGCCTTAAATAAAATTGGTAATAACATGAGTTGCTGCTTGGCCAAAGGAACTCATCAAATAAAAACAACACTGATTGCATACATGTGATGTTTCTGGAAGTATGCTGAAGCCTGACATGATTTACTGCACCTAATCCTCACAATAGTCCTGCAGTTAAATCTTACCTGGACCACACATATACAGATGGTGATGATTCCAATATACAGGAAGTTGGATTGAAACCACTGTTCTGCTTTTATGTAGCAACCCTGGAAAAAAATTACATATACAGATGATGGTACAAGAGTACTTGTGCTTTTGATAGAATCAAGAGACTTTTTTGGGGAATCTTAGGTATTTTTATTCTCTTTGCATTGAGGTAGAGACAGCAATAAACAAGAAACTTTTCGGTGACAGGTAACACAGAAGTTCTAAACCATTTCTGTCAAACTAGTTCTTAAAAGGCATGTCAGCAACAAGTCTATGAGTTCTTTGAACACTAAACACTCATCTAAGATAACAAAAAGGAATATAGCCTATGAAGTGCTGACATTGCTTTGCATTTCAGTTTCTGCTGCAACAACTGGCTAATCTCAACCCCGGTAAGTTGCAGGGAAGATTTTGGGTGGTGAATGCCTTTGTATTTCTCCACAGACCAGAACACTTATCTGGACTTCCAAACAACCTCAAGAGGGAGTGGTGGGGGGCGAGGCCATGACGGCAGTGATTTTCGTTTCTTCTCTGAATGTTTTCTGGAATCTGCCGCATCATACCCTCAACTCTCTCTCCAGGATCTTCACTCTTTCATTTAAGGTTCATTCCTCAATGGGAATGGTTCACCAACTCCCAGGAAGGAGAGCAGAGGAACAGGCAGAGGGAGAAACTCCTCAACCACAACCACGGATTTCATTTTCAACCTCAAGGAAATCTACCTGTTGCTCAGTGAGCTTCTTGATAAAATCCTCTGTCATTCTAGTTTAAGCTTTCCCACTCTGTGTAATACCTCAGTGTAGCTCAGCATCTCCAGTTAACTTGGTGTTCTCCTAGATTGTTACTATTTTTCTCATCACCTGCTATTGTTGATCTGGTCTCTTTTGTTCAAAGTTCCCTTTATCTGGATGGGAAGCCAACATCCTTCATGACTGCAGTTTCTGAGCTAAATAGAAGCTTAAACAAGGAGGCCAATAATAGAAAAATTGCCAACAAAATTACCTTTGCTTGTGGATCTTGAGGGCAAGACTCTGGTGATTTACCATCCCAATCCTTTGTGCCATTTACACCACAACATTGCAGCTAAAAGCCAAATTCCCCCCAAAATAGGATGGTTAGAAATTCAACAGAAAAATTAAATGTTGGAGGAAATGGTTAGGCATTTCAAATCCTAATCTATAGCAGAAAGTCTAGAACTGGCCTGACTACATCACACACACACACACACACACACACACACACAGAGGCTATTTACTTTAAAATAATCTGGCAAAAATGTGTAAGGAGTTAGAGAGATGACTCTAGAAAATGTTAGCTGTTAAAGCTGGTTACATATACCTGGAGAATTGTTTTCTAGTTACTTGCTTTACTTTTTTTTTTATTACGGAAATTATATAAAATAATTTAAACCTGAATTGAAAAATGAAGCATTGGAGATCTAGAGCCTTAAATTAGTTTTATCCCAGGGCTAATTCCCCTAATTCTTGTTTCCATTTCCTCTGTTTCATGCAAAGGAAGCATGTGATCATTTGGAGATGCAAATTGTTCAGTGTAGGCTCCTAGGCCCTCTTTGTCCCTCATACACCAAGGCAGGAATGTCAAGTTAGCCTGCACGTGTAAGGAGTAGGATGATGGAGGAATCACAGCAAGTCTGATTTGGGTGGTTTGGGGATTCAACATGGATTTTACAAGTCATATATTCCTCTTTTCAGTTAGATTTTAGAAAATGCATAAACTAATCCAATAGTATGTGTTTGGGGCTTCTTCACATCAGAGTAGAACTGAAACAGTGAGTCAACCTCAACACAAGATGAAACAGAAAATATGGAGAATTTTGTACCAGTGGAATTGATTCCCATGCCACCCTGTATGTGGCAGCCAAAGCATTATCCTAGATGCTGGGATCATAAGCCTTAGATTCTGAAATTTCCAGGAAATGCAAAGCCATTGTACTAAGGTTGGAAAACAAAAAAAAAAAAGTCTAGGCTTACTGAGGATTTCATTTGTACTCACATATGACTGGATAGAATCCCATGCCTCCTTCGTGCTGTTGTCTGAGTGGTAACGTTGGATGCTGTCAGTCAAACCATCAATCACATACCTACTCAGCTAATCAGTGTGCATCCCAGCAAAGAAAGCATTGTAAAAAGGAATAAATGAGATCAAGGAGTAAGTTTCAAAAAATAGCTTAAGTATCCCTGTGCAAGATAATTCAGACTTGAAGATTCTCACATTTTAGATTTTGGAATATTGCCATTTACATATTGAGATACCTTGGGGATCAGAATTCACTTATATTTCACATATACCTCATAAACAAAGCCTTAAGATAATCATACGCTATTTTTAGTACTTCCCAATTTTGACTACAACTTATCAGTGCAAGGTCAGTGTAGAGTTCTACACTTATGTGTCTTGTCAGTGCTCAAATTATTTCAGCACTTCAGGCATTTTGGATTTCAGGTTTTTGAATTAAGGATTTTTACCCTGTATAATCTAGTGATCCACTTTCTCCTTTCCAGGTTGTCTCCTCAGACCGGAATGGGAGGATGATTATCATTCTTTTTGTAATGAGAAATGTTACAAGTGAGGTGAACCTTGTCCTGTAACAGCTCTGCTTTTAGAAGGCATGAACATACTGTACCACAGAGGTACCTGCAGCATTATGTTTATAGCAGTGCTACTCATCATCACTAAAATATGGAATTAACCAAAGTGTCCAATAGCAGATAAATGGATAAAGGCAATGTAATGTGTGGGGGCACAAATGTATATATAAGAGAATATTATTCAAAAGGGACATTTCAAGAGCACAAGCTGCCAACTTTTCCTAATACAAAAGTTTTAAAGTATTAAGAATAGATTGCTGAATTGTTCAGAATTATCTATTCATTTTCAGTATTTTAAGACTAAGTGTACTTGACAATTGAATTTATTGCCAGCGCTTGGAGGAAGAGGATTAACCAGGTTTCTAATATAAAAATTGGATAGCAATATGTCTCAATAAAATGATTGAACAGATTGATGAAACAGTCTACCTAAACATTCATTTTATGATTTAAAATGTCATGATAAAAATTTTATTTAAAAGTGTGAATTTCACAGAGAGAAAAGGAGTGACAGAGTGAGGTCTTCTATCTGCTGGTTCACTCCTCAAATGGCCACAACAGCCAGAGCTGGGCTGATTCAAAGTCAGAAAGGAGGCAGGAGCTTCTTCTGGGTGGATATAAGGGCCAAGTACTTGAGCTCTCCTCCACTGCTTTCCCAGACCATAAGCATGGAGTTGGGTGTTAAGTGGACATGATCAGGTACCTTTATGGGATGCCAGTACTACAACCAGAGGAATAATCTACTGTGCTACTGCGCTGGCTCCAAAAATCATTATTTCCAATGACTATTTTTTTCATATCCCTTGATTTTAAAACAAAAGGTATTATTCATTAAAAGCAGTTGGGATTTTTGTTTTATCTTCCCAATTGCTTGTTCAGATTAAAATTAATTTTCTCATATTTTTTCAGGGCATATCCTTTCCTTTTCATTTTATATATTTCAAGTGAAATCTGAATATGTATTTCTATTAGTCCAGTTGAGAAGGCTCCCTAGTTAGCCTAGAAATCGCAAAGTTTGTGTTACTGAATCTATGAACTTCATGATATTTTCCAAAGTTAACCAAAGCACTTTTATGTCTTTAGTGAGACACGTTAGTAATGCTAATCATTCTTAAGACTTGAAAATGCCTGTGTATTTGATCATGTACTTAGGCAGAAAGCTACAATCAAACATTTCTGAAAACACTTGTTTACAAAATGTTTAATTACTTGTAATTGATGTTTTGAAAAAAATTAAATAATCAAATTAAACATTTCTTTCAGGTAAGCCTATATCTTTCTTAGTAAAAAGAGAGTTCCTTGAATTATTTATCTAAGTTTGAGTTCAGAAACACAAAGAAGAGAATCAAAATCATATGTTGAAGAAACACACACATAGCAAGAGCTCTGATTTTGCAAAGGGAAAAAGGAGCGGGGAGCAATCAAAGCAGGGCTATCCAGGAACAGAGTGATTTCCTGCTGCCAAATACACATGGAAAACTATGGAAGTGATGGATTGTTTTTGGAAGGATTTTGGTTGTTCCTTCCAGTCATCCTTCAAGACACCAAACACAAAGTCCCTCATGTTTTTCGTTTCCTCAGTTGCACTGAGTATCTGTGCCCTCCATCCTCCCATGTCTATCCCTATTTTATGACACATTTTGCTCTGTTGGGGTCTCCATGCACACTCCTCATTTTTAGCTTTGACATTTGTTCTATATGACATACCTTCTGTTCAAACACGAAGAGCAGGATGGCCAAGATCACTTCAGCAAGTAGGATAATGAGCAGCAGGATAAAGAACTGGGGTGAAAAAGAAAGACACATGAGCATTAATTCCACATATTCCTACCCCTCTGCTCCAGGAGCATGCCTGTAGAATGTTCCTGTGTTTGCCCTGTCAGGCCTTTGTAAACCTCCTATTGCGTGAGGAACTCATATTCTGTTCCTACAACTGAACTCTAGATCAGGACTACTTCGGGCTGGAGGGCAGGTGATGGCGAAGCTTAAGGAGAACCCCGTACAGATGAAAGTTCAGTGTCTCTGATAATGTCCTGACTATTTGTCTCCAGCTTTAGCTGTTTACTCCTTTCATGCTGACCACACATGACAAAAAACCCATCTTTGGTCATCTTGTATTTCATCGTCTTCACTGATTTTGACTACATAAAATATTTACTCATGTCTATTATCTCCTATCTTTGAAAACTGAGGGTGATAATTATATTATTAATTTTATCTTTCTTGAGTCCAGTTGAAGAGTTGATCCATAAGAGAAAAAAGGTTAACTGAAAGAGCTGAAATAGGACCAGGGCAATTGGGAACCTATGCCAATGGAAAATAGCACTTGCTTTACCTATCTGTATCCTGGGAACACTAGAGAAATGTGGAGTTCTTTCACAGTTCTGCCAAAAAAGCTAAGGCTGAATATGCACCTTAGCATATTTAACTCACAGGGAAGCATCTGAAGCTGTCAGCATCTCTCACAGGGGACCTCAATGAAGCTCTTGCCTAAGTTGGGTCACGCTAAGCATTGAGAACGTCACACAGAAATTCATTAGGGAAGCATTCTGAATGCTTTTTTTTTTTGTCATTTTAAGAGGGCTCCCTTGCTCTGAAGAATCTCCAGATCATTCTTCCATGGGTTAGTGACTCCAAGTCAGATCCAAACAGTGCAAGCTAACATAAGAAGTACTTAAACCTTGACCTTAACCAGATACAAAGAAAAAATTAAAATACCATGAAAGAAAATTATAATGGCAAGGTCGTGGTTAACATAATAAAAGGTGCTTACTCACACTTAACCCTGGGGCTCACATCAGAATAATATTGAGTCTAGAAAGACTCAGTTGATATGAAGTGCTTATCCCACATTCCTAGCATTTCCCTCAGCCTAGGCAATCTACCAATAATCATCTGACTTGGAACTAGAGGCATCGTTTCACATGAAGGGCACCGTATCTGCTGTCAGGACTCACCGACATCAGCAAGCACTTGTTCTCCTTGATAGATCCCATGCAGCCCAGAAAGGCGACCACCATGATAATGGAGCCCACGATGACAAGCACATTGCCCAGTGTGAGGAAGGGAAGGTTAAAGAAGAGCACTCCAAACTTCTTGTGGATTAAGAAGTAGATCCCAAAGCTCAAGACACAGCAGCCACAGAACTAAAAGGTAACATAACATTCCAACATTAAATAAAGCTCTTGGGTATCTTCTTTTGGCTATCTGACCTCCTTGTGATCAGAATCATCTTTTTTCCTTGTTGCTCTGATGCATATTGTCACAAACATCCTCTTGGCCCAGCTTCCCCATGCTCCTAGAAGAGAGGCCATCCCAGCTTCTTTGTGTGGAGACCCACCTGTGCCTCTTCCTATCCATTTCAAGATACCATGGAAAGCTCACTTTTGTTTGTTGCATAATGTCTTCACCAAAGACAGACCTAATCCTTTGCTTCACATCTTCTACTTTTTGTTCCCTCAGTTACTCACATGTGACTTTCCCTGTGCAAACCAGAACCATGTAGAAGAGATTCTCTGATTGAGTAAATTCATTTTTTCTATACAGAAACTAAGTGAATAATGAACTTCTCATACACACATGGGATGAGCACAAATCCATCCTATATCTCAGATTCAATTGCTGGTCTTGATACATGAACTCTCCAGTAGAGTTCTCTTTCATCAGGTATTTTTCCAAGGCATCCAGAAGAGAAAACATAAAAACAGAAAGAGGCATTCAATACCCAAAATACAGTCACAGCCTTCTCATACATAGCTGTCATCAATGAGCAGCAGTAATCTAACGCTCCCAGAAAGAGATGACACTACCATTAAGGACTGCACTAGTACCTTTTCATTTTGCAGGTCTAATCCATAATAGGTCTAATCCATAATAGGTGAGAAAAAGGAAGCTATTACTCCTTTGCTCCTAGCCAGGAGGGCTGAAGGTATGCATTCAGTAGAGGTGAGAGGAAAGCTTAGCTGACATGATGTGAACTGAGCCATGCTGCCACACTCAAAAATTACTTACCCAGAAGATCAGGTTGAAGAAAAACAGGACATACTTCAGTAATTTCAAGCTACTGATGCCCATGTTGGGTTATTCTTTCCTAAAAAAGGAGAAGGAAGAAGAGAGGAAATAAGTGACCAGACTGTCCAAGGTGGCACTGGAGACTGTAGTGTACAAATATTCAGGGTTCAGGGATCACCAGCTTCATCTTGCCTTTGAGCTATGGGTTTCCTTCAAAGTTTTCCCAAAGCCATTTTCTCTTAGTTTCTGTACTGGGGTGCCAATTAGGCTCATTGAATCATTGCAAATTCATTTTGCTCCAGTTCTGCTAGCCAAGAAGTTTAACATTGACTAAAACATCACAGAGGGAAACAATAAAGCTGTTTTCATAGGGTGAGTCACGATGACATAGGATAGGCCAGTAGCTTGAGTCCATGAGCAGCATTAATGACAAAAGCCTGGGAAATCAGTCAAGAAGGCATTGTTTAGAATTAGGCATAGGCTGTTGGTCAATTAGGCATGGAGAATGCCAGTAGCAAAATCAGCAAATTCCCAAAATGTGTTGAGATCCCTATACACATGACATCTGCTCTGTAAATTTGTCCACATGAAAGTGGAGGTGAATATACCCAGGCATCATTCAGTCTATTATTGCAAATACATTTTAGTGTTTTCTATTCTCACTGTTGTGGGGAAAGTAACCAAACCCTGACTTAGCAGTAGATATCTCTGACCATGTTTATTTTATAGCAGATATTTAAAATGATATAAAAGGGAAACCTGCACTAAGAAAAAAGCCCATACATTTGCAGGGAGCACCTACATGGGATTTTTTCTAAATGCTGTAATAAGCAGCACAAATGCAATAACTTAAAACCACACAAACTTATGCTCTTGTGTTTCTGAAGTTCAGATGTCTAAATTCAAGTTATTGACAAGGCTGTGTTCCTTCTGGCAAGTTCAGGAAGATAATCCATGTCTTTCTAAAAATCTCTTGTTTCTTTTTTTTTTTTATCAAGACTTATATGATTAGATAGGTGCCTCCTAGGTAACCCATAATGGTTTCTCTATCTTGAGATGCTTGATTTTCTCAATCCGCAAAGTCACCTTTGTCTTACGAGATACATTGACATGCTGGAGTTGAAGGACTACCTGCAATGCTGAGTACTGATTGGTACATGAGTGTGAAGGAATTACCTACAGCTGGGTATCATATCATCTGGCATTACAGAGAACTGGGGTTATAGTCTATTCCTTCCCATCAGATTGTAGAGTGTCAAGACTCACGAAGTTCAAAGAAAGGTACAGTATATGCAATAGGAGTCCCTAGAATGAATGCTGTTCCAGTTAAATGAAAATTAAAAAGAAGGCTATAAAGAACAAAATTGGACATACAAAACATATCATTTAATCACTTTATATAAAGCCACAATAATGGAGACAACATATTATTTTTATTGAGATATAAAAATATATAGGAGCCAGCCTTGTAGCGCAGTAAGTTAAGTCATGCCCAGGGATGCTATCATGCCATATGGGTGCCAGTACAAGTCTTAGCTGCTCTGCTTCCTATCGAGCCCCTGCTGATATGCCTAGGAAAGCAGCAGAAGGTGGCAACCCAGATGACCATGGGAAGAGGAATGGATAAACAAATTGTAGTGCTTCTACTCCATGGATTAATCTTCAGCAATGCCTATGACACATATATGAATATTAAAGCGAAATGCAAAAAAAAAAAAAAAAGAAATTATCATTTGCAACAAAATGGTCCCAACTGGAGACCATTATTCTCAGTGATCCTAGGGTTTTGCTTCTTCAGCATTTAACTGTTCTCACTTGTACTTTTCTTCATAAACTGAAGCAGGACAGGCTCTCACTGGTGTTATACTTTATGACTTGGCTTCCAGAAGAAATAAGCCTTGACAAACTGCCTTCCTTTAAGAATTGCACAGTGTTGGGCCCAGTGCGGTAGCCTAGCGGCTGAAGTCCTTGCTTGCATGTGCCAGGATTGCATATGGGTACTGATTTGTGTTCCAGTGGCCCAGCTTCTGTCCAGCTCCCTGCTTGTGGCCTGGAAAAGCCGTCAAGGATGGCCCAAAGCCTTGGGAATCTACACCCACTTGAGAGACCTGGAGGAGATTCCTGCTTCAGATAAATTCAGTCCAGCAATTGTAGCTACTTTGGGAGTGAATCAGCAGACAGAGGATCTTCCTCTCTGTCTCACCTCCTTTTTGTATATCTGACTTTCCAATAAAAATAAATAAATAAATCTTGAAACAAAAAACACTGCCCAAAGAAGTGTTCACATGATTGGCATTCATAATGGAATTCTTCCACTTTAAAATAATTACTCAGTGTCAAAGAGCAAATCTAAATGGATCAATGATCTAAACTTACACCCCCAAACCATCAAACTATTAGAAAAAAACATAGAAAATGCCCTACAAGATATAGGCACAGGCAAAGACTTCCTAGAAAAATCATTAAATGCAAAGGCAGTTAAGACCAAAATAAACAAATTGGACCACAGCAAACTAAGAAGCTCTTGCACAGCAAAGGAAGCAATCAACAAAGCAGAAAAGCAGCCAACAGAATGGGAGAAAATCTTTGCACACAACACAGGAGACAAGGGGCTAATATCCAGAATATACAAAGAACTCCAGAAAAAACATAACAATGAAATAAACAAACCTGTTAAGAAATGGGTGAAGGAAATGAGCAGACACTTCTCAAAGGAACAAGTTTAAATCACTAAAAACATATGGAAAAATGCTCAAGCTCCCTAGAAATAAGGAAAATTCAAATAAAAACAACACTGAGGTTCCACTTAACTTCAGGGAGAATGGCCCCCACACAGAAAACTACCAACAATACCTGCTGGCAAGGATGTGGGGAAAGGGGAATCCTACTCTACTGCTGGTAGGATTATAGGCTAGTGGGGTGCAGCCATGGTGGAAGTCAATATGGAGAATACTCAGGCAATAGAAAATGCACTTACCATATGACCCAGCAATCCCACTTCTGTGAATATATCCAAAAGAGCTTATACATTCATGTGAGAAAGCAACTTGTACTCCTGTATTCATTGCAGCACAATCAACAATCACAAAAGCATGGGAACAAGCTAAATTCTCATCAACAGAGGACTGGACAAGGAAACTATGGTTAATCTAATCAATGGAATACTACTCAGCTATTAAAAAGAATGAAGTTATATCATTTGCATCCAAGTGGGCCCAACTGGAGACCATAATGCTAAGGGAAATGAGTCAATCTTGAAAGGACAGATTTCATATATTCACTCTAAGACAATTTTCATCAAACATGAATCCAGTTGGAGGGTGAGGTTCCCCAATGAAACCTCACCAGAGGTGACTCCAGAAATAACTTCCATGTGTGCCAGCCAGTGTGGGGCTGGCTCAGTCTATAATCCACATCAGCATAAAAATACTGGTGGTTGTAGTCACTGACCAGTTCTGTCCCTAGTACCATCTCATATGCAAACCAATGGATGCTGTGTTCCAGCCTTAAACCTACCAGTCACACACTCCACCCTCATGTACACAAGTGGGAACTGCAGCCTTGTCAGAATGACTCCCAATAAGCCCCACTAGGCCCACCTCCATATCTGGCTCCTGTGCACGCCAGCATGTGCAACAGACTGGTCCAGGCTGTCCCACATCCTATTCAGCTTTTGCACACATCAATAAGGTTTGGAATCTAGCTCAACCCAACTGACCTGCTATCCAGCCCATTCTCATGCTGGTGGGTGCCACTACCTGTCTAGCCAGGTCCACCCCCAACTCCAGTTCTTGTACTCACCAGTGGGAGTTACAGCCCATCAGAGAAGTGCTATATGACTTTAGAGAATGAAATCTAAACTGTAACAGCAAAAAGCATTTTGGGATGTGGGTGGGGAAGCGTAGGAGGTGAGTTTCAGAGTGGGAGAATATAATTACGAAAGGTCAGTCCTGAAGAATCTTTCCAGATTAAGGAATATGCTTGACTACGGTTAGGGGTTGATGGGGGTTTATATACACATACACATACATATGTTAACAGGCCCTTCTAATTTGCTCCTGTTCAATATTTCAAACTTTTAGCAACACTCTGGTTTACACCCGAAAGTTTAGCAAGCACCACTAACACTTACTTCAGCACCTCCTTCCTGACATTTGTTCATGCGATCCTTTGCCCTTTTCTCTACCTCTTAATCTGGTTAGTTATTAGTCATCCTATTGACTCAGCTCATGTCACTTTTCCATGAAGAAATCTCTGATGTGTTCTTGACACTTAAACCTCCCTCCCCTTAGGGCGTCTTATTTCCTGCTACTACTAAACATTTCGTTTCATCTGTTTATGAATTTCATCTTCCTTGTTATTTTCAAAATGTGAATATGACAACTCCTTTTTTTTTGCTTATAGTTCCTTAATTTTTAATGTTGTGTAGATTCTTATAATCACCAACAAAAACAGACACAGGACAATTCTAACACTAGTGTGTATATATGTGTGTGTGTGTGTGTGTGTATTTACATATATATGTGTGTGTCTCTGCTCACTAGAATGAGAAATCCTTGAAGGAAAGGTGTTCTCATCTGTGGATCCTTGAAAGCCACAATAATGCCATTGAATGGACAATGAACTGGACTGCGACTCATTTATCCCAATTACAGTGTAGTGAAATTAGTATGATAAGGTTTTATTCTAATAAGTTTTTTTTTAGATTTATTTATTTTTATTGCAAAGTCAGATATACAGAGAAGAGGAAAGAAAGAGAGGAAGATCTTCCATCCGATGATTCACTCCCTAAGCGGCCGCAACGGCTGGTGCTGTGCCTATCTGAAGCCAGAAGCCTGGAGCTTCATCCTGGTCTCCCACACAGGTGCAGGTTCCCAAGGCTTTGGGCCATCCTTGTCTGCATTCCCAGGCCACAAGCAGGGAGCTTGAAGGGAAGTAAGGCCGTAGGGATTAGAACTAGTGCCCATATGGGATCCCAGCGGCACGTTCAAGGCAAGGACTTTAGCCTCTAGGTTATTTCACCGGACTTGGCTAATGAATTTTTATTTTGTACATAGACAAGTAGTTCTTCCATCAGCA